TTTTTTTTCGATTTTTTTGGTACAAAACCAAAATCACTAAGTTTTCGGTACAAAACCAAACTCAATTACGAATTGCAAGTCATTTCGATTTCAGTTTCACACTTTATTAAACCAAAATTATCAATTCAGTATCAATAATGGCTTGTCGTTTGGTTACCGAACCGATTCCAAGCTTAAATCCCCCAATTTCGTCTAGGTTATAATGAAACAAAATGACTCTTTTCCTTAAAAAATCTCACTTAGTACTACATTACTATGTACATCTCAGTATATCATGTTTTATTTAAACTGATACATATTTTCTAGTGTTGCCTAACAATGGAATAACAACATGTCATATTTTTTTTTCAGAAAATTCTACTTAAATCCCTTACCCCTTTTTGAACTTCCAAAATAGTCCCTCCTTAAATTATTTTCCTCTGCACTCCCCACCCCTAATTTTGTTCTTCCACTTCACTCCCTCTATATAAATAAAGGTTATTATTATTCATTTATTTTGCCATTTTATTCATAAAGTAAACTCTCGCTTTCTCTCCTCGGTTTTTCTCGCTTTCTGTCGCCGCTCTCTTCTCTCTCTCTGCTCGTTTTTTCGTCGACGGTCTCTTCTCTCTTTCTGTTCATTTTTTCATCGACATCGCCATCGCCACCTTTGCGCTCTCTCTCTCTGTGTTCGTTCATCACCATCGCCCGCCATCTTTGTCTCTCTCTTTCTCCGTCACCTCGCCATCTCTGTGAAGAAATGGCCGGCTCCAAAAAGAAGTCTCCATGAAAACCGTCCTCCTCGACACCAACGAAGGCATTACCAAGCTCAAAGGCAAATTCGGATTTTTGGGGTTTGTTCATAATATTAGAGTTTTTTTTTTCAATTTAGGAGTTGAATTTGAAAATTAGGGGTTTTTTTTAATTTAAGGCTTGAATTTGAAATTAGGGTCTTTGTGTTTAATTGAATTTTTGTAAATTTCTTTGAATTCGAAATTATTAAATTTCTGTGAATTAGGGGTTAATTCGAAAATTAGGGTTTCTTTTCAATTTAGGGACTGAATTTGAAATTAGGGTCTTTGTGTGTAATTGAATTTTTGTGAATTTCTTTGAATTTGAAATTATTGAATTTCTGTGAATTAAGGTTGAATTCGAAAATTAAGGTCTTTTCAATTTAGGACTTGAATTTGAAATTAGGGTCTTTGTGTGTAATTGAATTTTTGTAAATTTCTATGAATTT